CGTGAGTGACCAAGGTGACGCAGTAATTGGATGAGAATGGCTTCGTGTGCAGGTGGAGTCGCCGGACCTCGGTCCCCGCCATAGACTGGTCCCCGCCCAATTCCGTTCAAGAGCTAATCTCCAATCCTTTCGAAAGGAGAAGTTTGGGAGATAAACTGTTGCTTAAAGACCTTGGACCGGACCAACCCGATTTGTATATATCGCAGCAAGCTCGTGAAAAAGACAAAACGTATCAACGAGGATTCTCACGTAGCTGGTACATCAGAAAGGCATGGCTAGCTGGATGCAAACAGGTAAATGCTGTCTTTTGTTTCCCATGCTTGCTCTTCAAACAGCCGGGGACAGATACGATCTGTTCAGAAACTAGACAAAAGTTAAACAAGTACAAACCACAGACTGTCTGTGTCATGGAGAATACAGTCGCTGGTTTATTTATGTCTGTATAGGCCGTTGTTGTGAGTGTGGACGGTCGGAGCATATATAACGTTAGCTTAGCCAAGCTCCATTTAGAAAACACGCATTTTAAAAGAGTTTTTCGCCTGCCGTCTGTCCTGCAGATTTGTCAAAGCATTAATTCATGGTTTTTACTAACCGGTATCAGTATGTTGTTAATTCGGCATTATTTTGAAACGTGTATTACAATTAAATCACGGTAAAATATGTTCATCTTGTTGTAATTGTAGCCCCCTTGCCAGCGATTCTCTCTCTAGTTTAGCATACTCAGTCCGACTCAGCCTGGTTGTTCCTGGCCCTAGAACCTCGATTTTATGGGGCCAGAAAAACTGTGAATTAGGACCCGCTAGCCGGTACTAGGCCAAGTGGAAACGCAACCAAAAACGGGCCCTGCACGGCTCTGCACTGTCTGTGTCATGGCAAATACAGTCGCTGGTTTATTTATGTCTGTAGGCCGTTGTTATGAGTGTGGAGTGAGCATATACAACGTTAGCTTAGCCTGGTCGACCCAATCTCCATTCAGAAAACAAGCATTCTAAGAGGTTTTTCGCCTGCTGTCTGTCTGCAGACTTGTCAAAGCATTAATTCATGGTTTTTACTAACCGGTATCAGTATGTTGTTACGTCGGCATCATTTAGAAACGTGTATTACAATTTAATCACGGTAAAATATGTTAATTTTGTTGTAGTTGTAGCTCCCGAGCGCGTCTTGTTTGAATGATGCGAGTAAACACAGCTGGCAGCCGCGGTGAAACTCGAGCAACTAGAGCGATGCGATAGGAGCGTTTAGAGCGAAACTAATATTCGCATCGCGTCCGGTCTGAACGCAGCATTAAAGCGAGCTCCGCGCTGCACTGGAAACGCGCCATTACATCACCAGAAGTCCTAATTTAAGGGGTCATTTCTCCCAAAATAAATTTTTTTACTCACTGTTGCCCCACCAAAAATATTTTCCACTGGGTACGGGATGGGGGGTCGATGATGATGATGTCTGATTTGGCACTGTTCAGTTGGAGATAGTTTGTTTGCATCCATGCTTTTATTTCTGAGAGACAGTTGGTGAGAGTGGAGTGTGTTGTGGGGGTGATGGTTTTTGTTGATATAAAGATGGATGTCATCGGCGTAGCAGTGAAATTGAAGGTTGTGGCGACTAATTATTTTGCCAGGGGGGAGCATGTAGAGGATAAAGAGGAGGGGGCCAAGCACCGAACCCTGGGTGACGCCTTGGGACAGAGGAGCAGTGGAGGAGGTGCAGTTGTTGATGTTGATAAAGTGATGTCTGTCGGTGAGGTAGGATTTCAGCCAGGAGAGTGCAGTGTCGGTGATGTTGAGTGATGATTCGAGGAGGGACAGCAGGATGGCGTGGTTGATGGTGTCGAATGCTGCGGTGAGGAGGATGAGGATGTTCAGGTTGCCGGAGTCAGAGGAGAGGAGGAGGTCGTTTGTGATTTTCAGAAGAGCTGTTTCTGTGCTGTGTTTTGAAATAAGTATAAAATAAACATAAGACCAGGTCCTGATGTATTAACTAGGTTGCTAGTGGCTAAAACTATTGAATGTTCTGTTTGAAGCATCCTGAGGCCACAGTGGCTTCAGAACATGTATATAGTCAATCTTAAAAAACATCTTGAATGTATTCGTAGAAAGTTAGTTTGTTATTTAACAGGTATGGAGACTTTTTTTAGTTTCATACATTTTCAAAAATACATTGTTAGAATTTCTAAAAAGTACTCACTCAAACCACTAAAATAATGTAAATGAAGCAAAAGGCTCCTGAAATCCTTTCACATGTACTCACCAGTGTAACGCTGCCTTGCTGTGCTCCCAGTATATTTAAACTGCATGGGATGACGGCTACTAATGAGCACTGCACATGATATATATTTGGAATGCTTTAATGATTGAAGTGGGGGCTGCATTTTTAATTCTTAAACAATTTATGCTTGTCAGACTGTGGCATGACCTTTGCAACACAAATATAATAAAGACATGAGCATGTTTAGTAAGTATTGATATTGTTGCATGCTGTTTATACTTTTTTGACATAGAAAAACTATGATTACTAATGTACATATAGCTTTACACTGGTATGATCTGGAACTGTGACAGGCTCCGAAAGACTCCAATCCACTTCTGTAGTTGCACTTGTCATAGCAGAGTATAGCATAATAAAGGGAAACAATGGCCTTAACGAGTCTAACTGGTCACAAAAAACATTTTAATTTTTTTTTAGGGTTTTAGATCAGGACCTGGTCTAATGTGGTCTAGATGCGAAAAAAAGCACTGAAATCTCCCTTTTTTTGTATTTTCACAAATAGAATAAAGGTTTCACAAATCTCAAACTGTGTTATAAAGAATGTTTAGACTCTCTGTGATAATCCAGTCCAAATAAATCGGCTATGCAGCGATTTAAGAGGTACAAACACGGAGGATTGTACGCTTAGCGCTGTCAATTAAATGTCCCTTAACTTTCCCCTTAACCGCTGAATCGGAAGCTCTGAATCGGAAGCCAACTTCAGCGTCGTCCTACAAGTCAACCTACACATCAAAATAAATATATTATCTAAAACAGGTGCATTTGATTGAAAAAAAAAAGTAATAAATATAATTCAATATTTAAATGGTAACAAAAACAGTAACACTATGTATGATAAGAAAAAGGCAACAAAGAAAGTGTTTTTTGTTTTTCCTTGTTCATGTCCATAATGTTTCCCGTTGTGTAGCGTCCAGCCTTTCCCAATCTGGCCTGCATTTCTGTCTGTTGAAGCCCCTTCTTGAAGCAAAATGAAAAGAAATGTACAGATATAAGTACACTGTAAAAAGAAAACTTGACATTTACGTTAACATTTGGGCTGCTGTGGTTGCCAGAACTTGACCGTTGAAGTATGGTAAAATACATTACAAATTACAGTTGGTTGGCATAGACGTTACAGTCAACAATTGCTTATGGTGAATTACAATGCAGGGCTCAACATTATAAATGGCCCGCTGGCCCGGAAGCACTATTTAGACACCCCGGGCCAGCATAACGTACTTTCCACTTGTCGGGCCACTAAAACTATTGCTTAAAAAAAAAAAAAATGGTCCTATGGTATTGGTATTTTGACTATCAATTTTGTTAAATTGTTTCATTTATTAATGCCACAACATAGCGTTTCATGAGGCGGTTGTCGTTGTTGGAGGAAAAACAAACAACTGTTTTCGCGGTGACATTCTTTTATTTGAAGATTCTTTTTTGCCCGGCACTTGGCCGGTTACCGCTGGTATTAAAAACATTTTGGCGAATGGTTAGGTGGCGCTAAAGTCTGTAGTGAACGAGCGCGCTCCCGCTCACGGGAGCCTGCTAGTTCTCAGAAAAGAAAGACTATCGTGCCTTTTTTATTTCCTGATTATAGAAACCGAGTTTCTCTTTATATATTTCCAAGTAAACTTGGAGATTTGTTTTTCTCCACCTGCGTTCAGCTTTTCTGCACTCAATTTTTGCTGTTCTCACATTCATAGCTTTTCTACATGGAGATATTTTCTTGCCAGATACTTCCTTTATTTTAATGGGAGCGATGGTATCCATGACATTTGTTATTTTAGAATTAAAATGATCAACTAGCTCATTTACTGAGAAGTTAGCATGGGCAAGTGAGGGAGTAAAAATCTGGGCAAACATTTCCTCTGCATTTTCAGTTAAGTGACGTCTAGTGGTTACCTCTTTCTTAACAGTTGTATGGACGGTAATAGAGCTTTCGCTGCCGCAAGTTTTGGTCGCACAGTGATGATACTTATACCATTGGAATCTGTGGAATCTCAGCTTTCAGATGATATCTTGTTTGTGCAGATCCGATGAAGTATAAAATATATCTACCGGGAGTTATGTGCGTAGTGCTAATTCAGTGGCTCTGCGTTAGACTTGTGTTTTGTTTCGGTAGAAATGGTTAATATCGTCAGGTAGCTGAGTTTCTTCCCGTTAAGTGGGTATGACACATTCATAGTTTGTTAAATGTTAAGAAGCCCTCAGACGCTGTTTCTTGCAAGATGTTGCAGAGGGCACCGGGTTTAACAGGTTAAAAGGTCAGATAATAGTGAAGTTCAAAGTCGATGCAAATGTCTTGTTTTGTCAGTACAAAGCCCGAAGACATTTCAATACATTTCTTTTATATAATATAAAACAGGAAAAGGAGATAATCTCTATATTTGAGAACGTAGCAGGACACATAATCAGAGCTGTGCTCAAATAGGATTTGGCTGTCCTTCATGAAGTTTTGGAGACGGCAGAGAACAATGACAGGAAGTCACACATGTTAGTGTGTAGAATGTTCTGCTTTATTTACTTTGTTTTAGCCTGTAGCAGGATTCTCCTTTGTTGGTGATCTTTTCTCATCAGTGACCGCCTCTTCACACATTATCCCTTACTTAACTATTCCCTATAACTTTTAAAATGTTCAACATTAGCATTAGCAAGGGGCTTTATTTAAAAACTATAACATTTAGCAAGAATGTAACGCAGCATCATTACAATTCCTGTAATTAATGACTGCCTTAATGTGTTTCTTGTTTCAGTATTATCTGGAGATGTTCATCAGTCCCCCCACATTAAAGAGGAACACGGGCAACTTGTCGCTGTGAAGAGCGAAGATGATGAAGAGAAAGCTGAGCCACAGCTTCATCAGAGACAAGAAGAAAACAGCAGCTCAGCCCCACAGATGGAGAAAGAGAGGGATAGAGAGGACTGCAGAGGATCAGAACCAACCAGAAGCTTGGATCCTGTTGGCTTTTCACAGCCAGCTCATGATTACAACCTTGCAGATGAACAAGCTGACACTGTGACATTAACTCCGATCCAGGCAGGTGTATCCCTCAGTCCACCAGCTGTGGACGACAGAACTTCAGACTCTAGTGAGCCTGAGACTGACAACAGTGATGAAGACTGGCAGGAGCCAGGGAAACCTCAGCCAGATCTAAAAAAGATCAAGAACAATAGTGTTCCCAAGAGTAATAAAGAAGTTAACACTGGTAGGAAGTCTTTGAACTGCTCTAAATGTGGTAAAACATTTGAATCCAAGGACTGTGTGTTGGCAAAAATTCCTCCATTCGTTTGCTCCGATTGTGTTCCAAAACCGTCACAGGTTGCATGTTTTGTCACAAATAAGATAAGTGCCTCAGGGGAAAAAGCCTTTGGATGTTCAGTCTGTAAGAAACAATTTGGCTTCAAATCAGACGCTGTAAGACATATGAGGATTCACACCGGAGAGAAACCCTTCAGCTGCTCAGTTTGCGGGAATAGATTCAGTCAGAGCACGGGTCTGAGCTCGCACATGAGAACCCACACAGGAGAGAAACCATACAGCTGCTCTCTCTGCCCTAAAAGCTTTATCCGCAGCGGAGTTCTGGACCGACACATGAGAGTTCACACCGGAGAGAAACCTTACAGCTGCTCGGTGTGCGACACACGTTTCTCTCTGAGTCAGACCCTGTTGAAACACATGAGGATCCACACAGGAGAGAAACCGTTCAGCTGCTCCGTTTGTGATAAAAGATTCCTACAACAGGGACACCTGACGCAGCACATGACACTCCATACAGGGGAGAAGTCTTTCAGTTGCCCTGTTTGTGGAAAAAACTTCACTCGACAGTACCGCGTGAAAAAACATAAGTGTGTTACTGAGAGCAGCGGCAGTCAGTGAAACTGCAACACAAAACTGAATGTCATGCGCCAAAGATGGATTAGAAGGTTCAGATAAGAGCAACATAAATCTATTTAAATATTCTTTAAAGAAAAAAATGGTAAATGCTTATATATTTATATTACTGCGTCCACTAATGTCCACTGATTACTGTTAATGACTCATGACAATCATTATTGATAATGTGCGTATACTTCATATTTATGCTGAAGTTGAACAGAGACTAGTTCTTTGTAGGATTTGTCCCGCCCCTCCTTAAAGGTGGGGTAGGTAAGTTTGAGAAACCGGCTCGAGATACACTTTTTGTTATATTCCATGGAATGCTCTTAACATCCCGATAGCAATGAATATCTTAAGTGCTTTGACAAAAAATCAATTAAAAAATGTAATCTATGGAAGCCGTATTACTGTAAAAAGCACGACCAATCATTTTAGCCGGCCCGGCTAAAGTAACTGGATGGCCTACCTGCCAGTCAGCCTTCCATCTGTGCACAAACTTATCTCGTGCCCTCATTGGTCATGTGCACGTTCGTGTGTGTTGGAGGAGGGGCTCTATAAGGAAGTGGCAGATTTTTTCCGGTTGTGTATTTTCAAATTCTAGCTCACTCGAGCTGGTTTCTCCAAAATTACCTACGCCACCTTTAACTGTCATACATTTTATATAAAGCTTAGAATTGTTTCACTTCGCACACAAAAAAAACGGATTAGTGGCTCAGCGCTGGGTCACCTGCTAGCTTCTACAGGACCATTGCTCTCCTTTAAAAGTGTCCTTAAGTGTACAGTGGTTTATTGCAGTATTTAGGCCTTAAACAGCAGATGTGTCAACAATTCATTAAGTGGCCATGACAGACCTCACTTTTACCTCACCTATCTCTATTAAGCTTACCATTGATAAATAAATGTTAAATTGGTTATAATTTGGTTTGATGGAAAGGATGTACAGTATGTCCAGTATGACCAATGCACATTATGCGTTTTTAGAAGGTGCAAGCAAAGCATAAAAGTTCCAACCACAATTCTAGGAAGGTGTTGTGGTTTTTGACACCTTGACAACGGTTATGATTGAGGACAACAATGCACACAGGATGAAAGTGAACTGTGTACAGACTTGATGATTTTAGGTCCAACATCCAGGAGCAACACATCTTAGAGACAATAGTGACAGTTGTGTTAAGTTTGTTTCTGTTAATAAATTAAAGTATAAAGTTTGCATATTTGTTACATTTTGTTAAAAGAAAAACTCAATTCTAAACATGACATTGAAAATAGGTTTTGCTTTCATAAAAATGTTCATATTCCCGTTTGTTAAAATTGTATATCATTACTATAGTCTTCATTGTTTTAATTGTAACTATACATTTTTAATTGATTCATTAAGTAAGAATTTAACCTATGGGACCTCCTTCTCACTTCAAAAAGTCCCTCCAAGCTCTCCAAACTTTTTTGAGGCTTGATTTTGGGTCTTGGCTTGGGCTCCTTTAGAGGCTTGACGGGGGTTCACTTGGGAACCTGTTGCTGTTATACTTTGACCTTGTGTCCTTGTAAAACTTTTGTATCTTACTTTTGTTATTTTTATGATATTGTAAATCCTCAATTTTTGTTAAAAACGTAATAAAACCGGTTTGTACATTGTACATTTCGACCCAATTCCTGGTCTCTCTGGTGGTCTCTGAAGGTATCTGCTTGGTCTTAGTGTGAGGTAAGAACACCCTTCCTTGGAAAAGGCTGACATGGTTGATAATTTGGACTTTAAATTGTTTAAGGGAAATAGAAAACCTGCTAAGATTAAACTGTAGTTTCATATTGGTTACTGTAGTTGATGTGGTTTTGATTGATGCTGAACTATGACATGTGCTCTGCTGATGTGATAATATCACTGCTGTGATATCAGTGTTTGACTGGCTATGTTTGATATTACATTTGCATTGTTTTAATTGGTATAACTGGGGATCAAAAGAGGGGGTTAGGGATTGTGGGTCCTGAAGCTGCCCTAATTACCAGGCCAACAGTCTCACTCCCTGAATGTCCAGGAGCGACGGTTGGTCAGGGTCCTTCAGCTTCATAAACGGACGCAAAGAGTTTCAACTGATTGCAATGTATTCCCATCGACGGCGGTATTTGATGCTCAGGGAAGCACCGCATCGGTCCATGTTGGCGGCAGTTAAAGGCAATGTGAGCGTCCATTCCCATTGGATAACGGAGGATTTTACACCCGGATGTAAGTATTCTCCTTACGGTCGATTGATTTTACAGTGATATCTGCACTACTCATCAACTTAAAAACACCAGATTATCCTTGTTAATTACACAACATTGATTGGTTTAAATTGTGTACAATGCTTTTGTATTTTTCTCCTTCGATTCGGAGAAACAAATATTTTTTCGGAGTTTAGGATGGCAGAAGACACTACACTACCCAGAATCCTCAGCTATCGTTTGGGACTACACCATGTGCTTTGCCTGACCAACCCCGTGATTAGTCCTCAAGCTCTGTGATTGGATGTTGGAGTGGCAGTGTGTACGCCGAGCATCAAACAACTCTTTGAAATGGAATGAAACCCATCGACGGCACACTATCCAAAACAGGAATCGAACGTGTCCTACCTAGTTTCCGGTCTATTTTAAGGCCCGATCTCTGTAGATAAATAAGAACTACGACAAATGTGTAATATTTAATGCAGCCAAACCATTTATTATAATGCATTCATGTGATGACTTTCAAAGAGTAAAGCAAGCACTGCTGAATAAAGTATGATTTTATCTTTTACGAAACGTGTTTTTTCATATGGAATGCAGTTGGAGGTCAACCAATCACAGAGCTTGAGGACTAATCACGGGGTGTGTTGAGCAAAGCGGAACGATAGCTGAGGATTCTGGGTAGTGTAGTGTCTTCGGCCATCCTAAACTCCGAATCGAAGGGGAAATATACAAAAGCATTGTACACAATTTAAACCAATCAATGTTGTGTAATTAACAAGGATAATCTGGTGTTTTTGAGTTGATGAGTAGTGCAGATATCACTGTAAAATCAATCGACAGTAAGGAGAACACTTAATTCCGGGTGTTAAATCCTCCGTTATCCAATGGGAATGGACGCTCACATTGCCTTTAACTGCCACCGACATGGACCGATACGGTGCTTCCCTGAGCGTCAAATACCGGTTGAAACTCTTTGCGTCCGTTTATGAAGCTGAAGGAGACTCGGCGCATCACAACTGCATGCCAAAGGACCCTGACCAAGCGTCGCTATTGGACTATCAGGGAGTGAGACTGTGTTGACCAGGCAGTCTCCCAACGACACGGGGTTTCTCCTCCAGGGGCAGTTTTGATACTGCTCTGGGGTTCTACCAGCCCACCAACACCTACTGCACTACACACTCTGTTTTGCTATCCTGGCGGTCGGACATCCAACGCTTTAGTGCCTGAAATAAGTGATACGACGGGCAGCTGGTGTTAGAGGCCACGCTGTTAGTGCCCCCCTAAACAGATTACGTGATCTTGCGTGTAGATTCTGGGGGGTTTAGTCCTAAAGGTAGGGCGGCCGCTTTCCGGAGCCTTATCAGCATCGGAACTCGGTATCGAAGACGACCTAGATATTAACGTTGGTTATATAGAAGTTGGATTCCTTTTCAAATTAACCGCAATACTTTGAGTATTTATTTAATAACCTGTAAATATTTTGCACAGAATCCATTACTGAATAGAGAAATAATATGATTTATGTGATATGCAATTTTGTCTTTGCTCACCGCGAGGTTGGGCGCAAAGCCTTGCGGTGAAACCAGCTAGATAAGATTAGTTTCTACGGTAACCATGTCTGCTAGCTTGTGCCGGTCAAAGTTGAAATAGCTTTAAATTTGAGCACAGTGCGGTGACAATTCCAAGCTCTCTTCATAAGAACACAACTGTTAAGTCGGTGACAATGCTTTAGTCTTTGCATAATGTGTCATTTATGGGAGGGTAACAAAACAAAAACACTATCTGGAAATCTTAACTTTTAAAATCATCCACATTTGACCATCAGTACCTCTCTGTAACATCAAACCTATTCCATGACAAATGTTCTGCACTCGTTCTTTATGTGTGAAAACAGAGGAAAGGCTGTTTTCCACACCACACTCCAGTTTCTTGAAGTTGCAAAAGTGTGAGATAATGGACAGAGTCTGCGTTGTAGGAAGAGACTGTTCGCAGAATGATAGCTCAGCAATAATCATGTTATAATAAAGTAAAAACCCTCTGATTTCTCTTTTCAGTTTGTCATGCATTTCCTTTTTACAACAACACATGAGATCGTTTTTATTTCCCCCCCAAATACAAGTATTATACCATGTGATTAATCATGATTAATCCATGATTATTATTGTGTTCAACACAATTAAGTGCTCAGAATTGTGCACTTGGGATTTCAAAATATATATGTTAAAGTGTTAACACTGCCTTTAAGGTGTTTTGTTTTCAATACTGTAATTTATAACATTTACTGACACACATTTTGTAACTGAAACCACTACCAATAATGTTTTTATTACATTTTTGACTATTATGACTTTATACTGAGCTAAAAATGTTGAAAATGTGCCAGAAATCTTGAAAACTGTCTGTTTTATTTAATGTATTTCCTGTATTGCCCCTCTCATAACATAACTTGATTTTATGAATGACACCTTATTATTTTGAATCCCATTATTAGTTGGTGCTTTGGCAATATTTTTCTTTGTTCCTAAATAAAAGCATATTGAATTGAAATGATATTATAATATGTTGGTATGTCTTTAAAATGTAAAATACATCTTATAATTATAAAAAATAAAATGGTACACCTGACTGCACTGCTCTGTTATCTATAAACTTACACTGCACCACTCATGCAGATTGTTACGTGCCAGGCAGGCTGTACTTGTTTTGTTTTTCTTTCCCTCCCGTTCTTTTTTCCCTTATTTTCACTGCAGCTAATCAGCAGCTGATCAGTACCCCTGGATCCCCTCACCCTCAGCTGGCCTATCAGCAGCCAGGGCCGGTCCTGAAGGAGGCACCCACTCTCTCTCAACCACCCTGGGCCTGATGCTGACTGAAGAGCCTCTGTATGATTGTTTGTTAGTTGCTGATTCTACTGTGGATCTTGTTTTCTGAGCATTGTTGAATGTGTGTGTGGTGGGAGGTGGAGGAGCTAGGTAAGTTTGGGGTACCCTTGCTTTACACTTCATCACGTAGGTAATATCTGTTAGACGCACTAGGTTAGTGGATTGTTGCCACTCCTGTGTGTTGCTTTGTCCCATTCTTAGTAGTTCAGATAGTGAGGGTTTTTGTTTCAGAGGATAGATTTCGTCTCCGTGTGGACGCCCCACGATTTCAGTTGTATCCGCTAAAGTTCTTTATCGTATAGACCAGGGGTCGGCAACAGGCGGACCGCGGTCCGGATCCGGAACCAGACGCCGCCCTATACGGACCCGGACCTATAATCCATCCATCTTCTCCCGCTTATCCGTGGTCGGGTCGCGGGGGTAGCAGTTCCAGCAGAGAGCCCCAAACTTTATTTTCCCTGGCCACATCAACCAGCTCTGACTGGGGGATCCCAAGGTGCTCCCAGGCCAGCGAAGATATATAATCCCTCGACCTGGTCCTAGGTCTACCCCTTGGTGTCTTCCCAGCTGGACGTGCCTGGAACACTTCCCTAGGGAGGCGCCCATGTGGCATCCTTACTAGGTGCCCGAACCACCTCAACTGGCTCCTTTCGACGCGAAGGAGGAGCGGTTCAACCCTCCCGGATGACTGAACTTCTCACCTTATCCCTAAGGGAGACACCAGCCACCCTGCGGAGAAAACCCATCTCGGCCGCTTGTATCCGCGATCTCGTTCTTTCGGTCATGACCCATCCTTCATGACCATAGGTGAGGGTAGGAACGAAAATGGCCCGGTAGACAGAGAGCTTTGCCTTCTGGCTCAGCTCTCTTTTCGTCGTGCGGTAAAGCGACTGCAGTACCGTTCCCGCTGCTCCGATTCTCCGGCCCATCTCACGCTCCATTGTTCCCTCACTCGAGAACAAGACCCCGAGATACTTGAACTTCTTCACTTGGGGTAAGGACTCATTCCCTACTTGGAGTGGACAGTCCATCGGTTTCCTGCTGAGAACCATGGCCTCAGATTTGGAGGTGCTGATCCTCATCCCAGCCGCTTCACACTCGGTTGCGAACCGATCCAGTGAGTGCTGAAGGTCGCAGACCGATGAAGCCATTAGAACCACATCATCTGCAAAAAGCAGTGGTGCAATCCTTAGTCCACCGAACTGCAGACCCCCTCCCCCTCGACTACGCCTCGAAATCCGATCCATGTATATTACAAACAGGATTGGTGACAGCCCTGGCGGAGGCCAACCCTCATCGCCTTCTCCAAGTCTACAAAACACATGCAGACCGGATAAGCGTACTCCCAGGCCCCCTCCAGGATCCTTGCGAGAGTAAAAAGGTTATCCGTCGTTCCACGACCAGGACGGAATCCGCATTGTTCCTCCTCAATCTGAGGTTCGACAATCGGCCTGACCCTCCTTTTGAGTACCTTAGAGTACATTTTCCCGGGGAGGCTGAGTAGTGTGATGCCTCTGTAATTGGCACACACCCTCTGATCCCCCTTTTTGAAAAGGGGAACCACCA